TCTCTGTCTCCCCCCTCCTTCTGTCTCTCTCTCCTCTCTCCTCCCCTCCCTCTCTCCCATCTCTCCCTCTCCCTGTATCTGATCAGAGAGGAGAGGAGAGAGGAGATAGAGGGAGGGGAGGGGAAATCTGATAAGTTGATCCCCTCCCTTCCCCTCTCTCTGTCCCCCTCCCTCTATCTCCTCTCTCCTCCCCCTCCCACAAGGAGAGGGAGATAGAGAGGTGAGAGAAGAGAGGAGAGAGAGAGAGCTAAAGGGAATGGAAATCTGATCAATTGATCCCCTCCCCCCTCTCTCTCTCTCTCATCTCTCTCTCCCCTCTCCCTCTCCCTGTATCTGATTTAGATACAGGGAGAGGGAGATAGGGAGTAGAGAGAGGAGAGAGAAGATAGAGAGATGGGAGAGAGAGAGGTGAGGGAAATCTGATCAACTGATCAGAAATCTGATCTGATCCTCTCCCCCTCCCTCCCTTCCCCTCTATCTTTCCCCCTCCCTCTGTCTCTCTCTCTCTCAGATACAAGGAGAGGGGGAGGGAGATAGAGAGTAGAGAGAGGGGAAAGGAGAGAGGAGAGAGAGAGATGAGAGAGAGGGGGATGGGCAATTTGATCAACTGATCAGATTTGAAATTGATCCCCTACCCCTCCCTCCCATCCCCTATCTCTCTCTCCCCCCCTCTGTCTCTCTATCCTCTCTCCTCCCCCTCCCCTCTCTCCCATCTCTGTCTCATCTCTCTCTCCTCTCTCTCTCCCTGTAGTAGAGAGGAGAGAGGGGAGAGGGGAGAGGGGAGAGGAGAAAGGAGATGAGAGAGAGAGCAAGAGGGAAGGGAGGAAGAGAGGGGGAGGGGAAATCTGAACAACTGATCTGATCCCCTCCCCCTCCCTCCCTTCCCCTCTTTCCTCTCTCTATCTCCTCCCCCCTCCCTCTCTCCCATCTCTGTCTCCGCCTCATCTCCTCCCCCCCTTTCAACTAATGCTATGCATCTTTATTCTTCTTAATGTAAAATATTTTTTATTAAAAATAAAGAAAAAATGAGATCCCCCCTTCGTCTTCATCATCATCCTAACCGCCCTCCTCTTAAGGAGGCTTACACCTCCTTGTGTTTGGGAGAATTACGCCTCTTGCGTTTTGAACTACACCTCATGCCTCTAGGTAGTGGAATGCCTCGCGTCATGCTTCTGCATTTTAAAACATTGATAAAAGCATCCCATGAGGTTACTCATTACTGATAAATCATAAAAACCTCCCTTGTGTTTTTGAAAAAAACTGCAGTTACCTCCCTTCCATCATTGTTATAGACCAGAAATATTGGCCTAATGCATTAGTTTTTTTGAAAATACCCATTATACCCTTATGCCTATCAATTCATATGAAGGGCAAATCTGACATTTTGAATTATGTAGAAAGGTGCACTAACAAGTAGTAAGGGAAATTTAGTAAATTCAAAGTTTCCATTACTGGAACAATGATCAAAGGGAGGTAACAAGTGTTTCTCGGTTGACCAGGGAAGACAACCAGAACAGTACAACAGTGAAAATTAAAAGGTAATTTAATTTCTTTTTGCTTTATAGAAGATTGAGGAAGAAACTTTTATTAAATTAAGGTGGTAAAGCTGTTGTGATCTAGTGTAAGGTTCTAAAAGGCTAATGGCAGAGGCGTGGCAGTTGGGTCTCATAGAGGCAAGGTACAAGCTTCAAGGTGTTTTGAGGCATAAGCCTAAAAAAAGATGCAAATCATAAATAATAAAGACATGAAAAACATAAAATTAAAACTTCATTTGGATATATTAGACACAAAATTATATTCTTTGTTCCAATACACCCCACTACATCAAAAGGGGTGTATTGAATATCAACACTTTGAAATTTGAACCATGCACATCTTTTTATTATTATTTTTTAAATTTTGCATCAAAAGCATAGTTAGTTTTATGTTATTTAATTATTAAAAAGGAGCTCCTTAAAATACTAGTTTTTTCCTAAAATCTAAACACTAGAAAGTGTTCAAGTATGGGGTAAATGGGCAAGTGGATAAGAATAAAGCATGAACAATAAAGCAAACTATTTTCTTACACATTTATATGCATTTATTTGTTATTTGTATGTTTATTTTTTGTCCAATACCTTAAGGCCAGCGTCTTGAGCATTTTGAGGCCAAAGGCCCAAAGGCATAAACCTCAAACAACTCAAGGCTTAAGCCTTGCTAGTGAAGTCTGAGGCTATTGAGGCCAGGCCTTTTTTCTTAGCCTTGCCTCAACAGCCTTCTAAAACAATGGTTTAGTGTAGTGTAGGTAAGTCAACATGTACCCTAACTAAAAGGCCTGCGTTGTACATGCTGAAACATGGCAGAAAGGGATAGATTGAAATTGAAAGCTTGCAACATCAAAGACAATTCAGTTCAATAATTTAAATTCAACCTCCCACAAGTTGGTATGTTTTTAAAACAATGATTTATATGGCATGGTTCAAGGTGTAATCATGTAACCAAGAGGGAAGGCAATACAAACACTTCAGAGGAGTGACATAAAGCTCGGCTCTAATGACATCCTCCAATCCTACTGTCCTATAATACGTTTGAACTCTTGGAAGTACTTCTCCCACATTGCTCCTGAGGATGACTTCAATATCTGAAGGCGTTGGATTACTCAGAGAACATCTATCAACGCTCAATTTGGGGGATCCTGAAACAGGGGTTGTACAATGCTCAATGTGAATATCATTGGATGTCGATGAGGATTCATTCACCAGGGCCAAGCCTGAGAAAACACCAATGAAGCAGAGCAATGTAAACCTGAGAAGATAAAAGGCAAACAGAAACATCAGCACTTGCAGACTTCTAAGACACTCCCCACAAAGCCTAAAATGCTACCCTACTCTTCCAAAATAAAGAAAAGTGTCACATTATAAATATTATGATAATGCAAAACTTGCCACAGATAAAGTGCTAATCTCGCTGTGGAAGGACGCAGAAGATCTTTGACCATAAATGAAACAAAATTCCATCTATCACCTAAAATGCTACCCTCAACTTCCAAAAAAAAGCAAGAGGTATTAAGCTGTAATTGAAACTACATCTTAGACCAACACCTAGTCAATATTCACCCAAAAATATCAATGAATCATCCTTGGATGATTGTCTCTGCAACAGTTCCTCAAGAACAACTAGAAGGTTCCAGGTTCTCATTCATAGATTTGTGATGCTATTTTCTGGGTGACTGCAATAATAGTTCAAGAACATTGACTTAGGATTTACAGTAATAAGCACAAAGGGCAGGCACTTGAGACCTCGAACTTGAAAATTCTCAACAAGATCCTTAGCTCAGGCATTCAAAAATGAAGAGCTCGTTCAACCATAATGTCTTCAACTTCCTTACTTGTTTAAAAATTAAAGAATAATGAAATTAGAAATGCTATGGTAGAACAGTGACCGCTCAGAATTTTTTTTTTGTGTACAGATAATAGCATATTTAAGGTGCACATACAATAATATCATTTAAAACCTTAAATGACTCAAAACAGGAGAGCAATTATTACCAAAGTTTGCAGCCTGTAGTGGGTTTAGTTTATGTAAAGAGCACAAGCATAGAATTCATCAAATGTTTCAATTTTCAAATAGAACCAAATATAGATGTCATATCAAGGTAATCATATATAAGATTATATATAATACATCTGTTCAAAACTAGAACAGACTAAAGAAATAGAGATTATATAGAGCTCACCTTCTTGAACTGATACCATTAGTAATGAACCTGACATTCAGAATTTCAGACAAAGACCCGACCCGACATCACTAAACAACAACTAGCTTTTGAAAAAAGGGTAAAATATAAAAACATCCCATGAGGCTACTAAAAATCACAAAAACCTCCCCTGAGGTTTTTCATTTTCATAACCCCCCTGTGGTTTTGAAAAAAACTGCAGTAACCTCCCTTCCATCATTGTTATAGACTGGAAATGTTGGCCTAATTAGTGTTTTTTTTATTGAAAATTATTTTACCCTTACGCCTATCAATTCATATGAAGATTTAATAAAGTACCCCATAACAACTTTAACTTTTACCCTAGAAGGGCAAATCTGACATTTTGAATTATGTAGAAAGGTGCACTAATTTTAGTAAATTCCAAGTTTCCATTACTGGAACAATGACCAAAGGGAGGTAACTGCAGGTTTTTTCAAAATTAAATGGGAGGCCTTTATTAAAGTGAAAACTTAGGGGAGGTTTCTATGGTAGTAAATCTATCCTCGTAACCAACTTCCATCATCATCTAAATGGATGAAGGCAGGATACATGGAGGATGCTTATTATGAATTGAAGCTATTTGAGAACAGCTGAAATGGCAAAACTGAATGGCTTATTGCTTTGTCACAATATAAATAGTCCTGTTTTCTCTTTTTTTCTTAAGTTATTGAAGAATGATTCTTGAATGTTTGTTTTTCTGCAATTCTCGAAGTTTGAGATTTGAGTAGTCCTCTTTCTCTAATTCAGTGGCAACATCATTCCTCCCCTCCCCCTCCACACCCCACCCATTTGGGTTTTCTTACATTTCTATATAAGATCTTCAAGGCGCTGTAGACCCCCCCCCCCTCCTTGGTACCCATTCTGCAAGCCTGCAACTGTTGGGGAGTAGACATTACTATTTTTGAGTGATAATCGGATGGTTTTGGCAGGGATGGACAAGGATGAAGAACAGGAAGATGCATGAAATGTAAAATCTAAACCTACAATACAAAAGCAGAGAACCAGTCAATCATAAACTGCTTCCAAGATTAACACCGGTGCAATAGGCACTTACATGCAATTCAATTGATCAGGCAAAATTTTCTTTCTTTTCTTTCTTAGGGATAAAACTCAAAATCATGCTTCAAATCTCATGAACAAGGCTCCATGCTAAGACAGAGGAACATAGCAAACCCAGAAATAGAAAAAAAGAAAACAAAATTATGTATACTTAGGACTGATTGAATACTTTCATCTTACAAGGATTAACAAAAAGACACAAGCATGTTGGATATCCTGATTTATAAATTTACAACTCCTGAAGTGCCATAATAGTAAGATATCCCCCTCACTAGATCCTGCTATAGATGAATCAAAATAAAAAAGGAAAGTAAGCATCTTTATGTTCTTAAAAGAGCAAGTAAAAGAATGGAAGATAAGATAATGGATTCATTATCATAAGACGAGAGTGTTTTGAATTAGAACATACCTAACAAGAAGAACACAGCGTTATGGATGGAAGCTGCAGTAGCATGAATCCACAAATTAACTAATTCTCAGTAGAGGGAGAGCATCAATCACCACATTTCAACACAAGGGACATGAGATATCTTCGGCCAATCTTCACCAGTCTCCCTTGAGCATCGTTCCTCCAAATGGGGACAACCATAAATACGAAGATCCCGTAATCTCGTCAATTGCCTCGTTTCTTCCGGTAGAGATTCCAAATTGGGGATATAATAGATTTGAAGATGTTGAAGCGATTTGAGGTTTCCAAGTGACTGTGGTAGAGATACTAAATCAGGCACATCATTAATCTCGAGGCTTTGAAGTGATGGGAGGGTTCCCAACCCCTCGACATTATTGAAGGGACAGTGAGAAATACGAAGGTCTCGGAGAGATTGGAGGTTCTCCAAATCCTGTGGCAGCTGCTGTAATTTTGGAAGGCTTTCAATCGTCAACTCTTTCGGGGCAGTAAGAGCTTGGATTCCCTCCAACGAACAAAAATCTGGACATTCTTCAATCTGTAGCTCCTCAAGGGCGGTGAGGTATTGCAAGCCTTGTAACTGAGACAAGGACGTCAAATTTGAGCATTCCTTAATAGTAAGAGTCCGGAGAGAAATCAAACCTTGCATCGCCTTCTTCTCTGCAGGAAGTGGAAAACCTTTGAAGTCTTCTTGAGAGGAAGTTGTTGTGGTTGTCGTCATATCAACCGTCCTGCACCTCGTCTTCATCAGCAGTGTTGACTGTAATTGTTGGCCACTACAATGATACAACTCCATCTTTTCAACAGTAGGATGTGGAGGAATTGTTTCCAATTTAGGGCAGTTGGATATCTCCAAAGAGGAAAGGAGAGGGAATAATGGTACCCCCATATCCACTCCATCAATTGCATCCTCATTGTCTCCAGCTCCACACCATTCCTCCAAATTAGGCATGTCACGGAGGAAGAGTTTTTTTAATGATGGGAATATGGACGATGATGCATCTCCTCCCTGAACTTGACATTGTCTCCTCCAATTCCATACATTAATCTTCTTTAGGGCTGTCGAATCATGTAGTTCTAGATCCTTAAGGAAAGGGAGTGGACCAAAGATTTCAAAACATTCGCATCTTCTACAATGCCCTATCACAATTCGAACTAGATTTGGAAGGACGGAGGGTTTTATCATCCAAGAAGGAAACTTGATCCCCCAATAAGAATACATTATCAACTGTTTGAGATTTAGATGTGGCTGGAGTACACCTTTTCCTGGAGTCGTATTGCATCTGCGTTTTCATCATACTCACATGTGAGACAAAACCTTCTCTTCCTGCGGTTGGCTATTAATGGTTGTTGGAGAACGGCGATGAGATGGGGCTTTTGAAGGCTCAGTGTCTTGGATTTGGATCTGCAAATCGGTGTCGGAGATTAGGTTGATTCAAGGGGGTCGACCTCTGTTATGCTAGATTCAGAACAGGAGGATCTAGGGTAGTGGAGCGAAATTCAGTTCGGATTGGAGGAAGAACCTTGTCCTTGTTCTGACTTCCGATGGTCTCCGAACTTAAAGAAAGGGTGTAAGAATAGAGGATCCCAGCGGTTTACACTCGAGGATTCAAGAACGAATTGGGTTCTCTCATTGACGCCTGTCAAAACAAGAACATCTTCAAAACCCATTAGTTTTCTTGGTGCCATCTCTGGTTGTATATGATCGTAGATCTGAGATTTGAGTCTGAGAAAACCAAAATAAATTAGGATTTTTTGGTCTTATATGCCTGTTAGCATCATCTAATTGAACCAGACGGAGTGAAATCAGCCCCAAACTCAAATAGAGTAATAGATACCTAATCTGACTCGCATCTTTGCTTCTGATTCATCATCTCTTCTTGTTGATCAAAGATTATTCTAATGAATTTTTTTTTGGTACTGATCAATCGTATAAAATTTTGTGAGAGAGGTTTCAGTATGGAGATAAGCCTCGGCAATTTTAGAAAGGCGTCAAAATTTTTCATTTTGAAAATTTAAAGAAGAATGATGGGCAAAAGAGTCTTTTTCAATGCCTCCGTATCTCTATTTTTCCCAAATTATTGAAGAATGTTTGTTTTTCTACAAGTGTTGAAGTTTGTATTTTGAATAGTCATGTTTCTCTATTTCATCAGAGGCAATATCATTGCTCCCTGCCTCCCCCCTCTTTCCTTGGGAACCATGCTGAAGGAGAGGGGGGTTACCATTTTTTTTGTCTGATTTTGGCAGGGATGGCCACAGCAAGGATGAACGAGAGAAGAAATCAGTCACCTTTTGAGTTCTGGCATGTGCTTTCACGGCTATTTTTGTTAAGAGTGCCAACACTTTGACTTCTATCTGGAGCAAGATGTACAAAATGTAAAAGCTTAACCTATAATACAAAATCAGAGAATGAGTCGTCAGTTATTATAAACTGCTTCGAAGATTATATATAACAACTATATGCGGACCCAGGTCGATGTTTTATTTTGTTAAAGAAAAACAATCGGATGATAGATTATACCTCAAAAAGTTATAGGTTATGAAACACATAAAATTCAATTGATCAGGTAAAACTTAATTGGGATAAAACTCAAAATCATGTTTCAAATCTCATGCTAGGGCAAATGACATAGCAAAACCAGAAACAGGGCAAAAGGAAATATGTATATTTAGGATGGGTTTAATACTTCCATTTCCAAGGATTAACAAAAAGGCACAAGTTGGATATCCTGATTTATAAATGTTTCTTAATACAGAGTTTTGATATATAAGAAGAAAAATGACTAGAGAAAAAGCTCTATAACCTTTGAAATATATTCTGCGCGCCTCGCTTCGTTGTGCAAAGAAGAGACCCCCCTGGGGAATGAAAGCACTTGCAAGGCCTCAACAGGTATAGGAAACGCTTGAATCCAGCAGGCAGGCAGGTTCCAGGCTCATAATTCTTCAAGTGCCATAATAAGGTTCCCATCACTACTAGCTAGATCCTGCTTTAGATGAATCAAAACAAAACAAAAAATAAGGAAAGTAAACATCTTCAGATTCTTAAAAGAGCAAAGTAAAAGAACAGAAGATAAACACAAGAGGAGAGGGTTTTGAGTTATAACGAACCTAACAGGAAGAAGAAGATAGAATTATGGATGGAAAGCCCATCATCAATCACCACATAGAAACAACGAACCTAAGGGAAAGTGAGGTTTCCAAGTGACCGTGGTAGAGAGACCAAATTAGGGAAACCAACAATTTCAAGATGCTGAAGAAATGTGAGGTCTCCAAGTGATTGCGGTAGAGTTATCAAATCAGTGAAACCATAGAGTGTGAGCATTCCAAGTGATGGGAGGTTTTGAAGCCCCTGGAATAGACTTGATAGATAAGAGGGGGGACACTTTGAAATACTAAGCTTTCCTAGCTCTTTCTGTGGCAGCCTCTGTAGTTTTGCAAGGCTTTCAATCGTCAACTCTTTCAAGGCAGTAAGGAGTTGGATTCCCTCCAATGAACAAAGCTTTGGGCATTCTTCAATCTGTAGCTCCTCAAGGGCGGTGAGGTATTGCAAGCCTTGTAATTGATACAAGGACTTCAAATTCCAGCATTTCTTAATAACAAGCCTCCGAAGAGAAATCAAACCTTGATGAATTTGCACGGCCTCCTCTGGAAATGTAAAACCTTTCAAGTCTTCTTCTTCACATGAAAGTGAAGTAGTTGTTGTGGTTGTGATCATATTGGCCGTCCTACTGCACCTGATCATCCTCATCAGCAGCATTGACTCTAATTGCTGAGAACTACAACCACATATCTCCATGTCTTCAACGGTCGTTGGATGCCAGGGAATAATTTTCATCATCATCATCATCATCGCCATCACCATCATCATAATCGAATTGCAGGGATGTAAGGTATGGCTTGTCCTTCAAGTTTGCTTGCTCGGCATCCCTGGCATCTCTCACATTTTCGAGGCCTTCAATTCTTAACTCACCGCTGAGCTGGTTCAGGCCATGCAACTCTCTTAGTCTGGCGCATGACGGGGATCCCTTCCCACCCACACCCACAGGGAAATACTTCAATGTTGTGAGCTTTGTGAGTTTTCCTAAATTTACTGGAAAATTTTCAAGACTCTTACATAAGCTGAGATGTAGGGTATGCAAATTCTGCAGTTTGGTAATAGAAGATGGGAGTTGTGTAATGCTTTTACAACAATAGAGGTCGATGTACCTCAGATTAGTCATGTTTCTAATATCATTCGGCAATTCTTTTAGGTGCAGTGTTTACAGTTTCGGAGTTTGAGGGTCTGCAAGTTCTGGAGCGGAGTAAAAGTGGAGGGAAGTGTTTTAATACCCGTAGTCGAAGAAAGGTCAAAGTACCTTAAGTGCTTCAAATTTCTTATGGATGCTGGCAACTCTTTGATCTCTGCAGCTTTAAGTAAGTCTAACCGACACCCGTAAGCAACTGAAATTTGAAAACACTTCATCGAGAAATGCGGCTGATGATATTCTACTTCTGTTTGCGTAAAACAACAAAATTAGCGTCCGTAGTTTCTTCCCCTCTTTTAACAAATCCCACGAATTATCACCATCACCGCCAATATTGCTAGGTGTCTAACTCTTTCTGCAAATGCAGTAGGATTAATAATGTTTCTGCTGGATGACTTTCGTTGATCCACCACCATACATTCGTCCCCTGCAACTAATCGTGCAAGGTCATGCATTTTACAATATGTCAGTCCTCTTATATAATCTTCTCTTACATCTTGAAAGAAGGATCCCCATACTAATTCATTGAAATACTGCTCCCCTGTATCCTCCATACTCGGTCCTGACGAAGACGTTGTTGTTTGAATAATATTAATGAACCCCTGCGCCATCCATAATTGGATCAACGTCTCCTTCTCCATCACATAATCCTTTGGAAACACCGGGCAAAACGCAAAGCATTGTTTCAGATGGGAAGGCAGATGATCATAGCTCAACTTCAATGCTTTCATGATTTGGTTTGGTTTCTCTTCTATTTTCCAAATTTCATTATCTCGCACCTGCACCCACTCCCTTTCATTTCTCTTATAGCGCATTAGACTTCCAAGAGTCCTTGCTGCAAGCGGCACCCCTCCACATTTCTTTACTATTTCCTTCCTCATGTAACCGTTTTTGGTCACGTACCATTTTTTGTGATGTATAAATTTTTTTGGCTAAGTACCTCGTGTTTGACCTGGTGGTGACGTGCCTCGGTGATGAGCTACTTGGTGGCGAACTTCCTGGGGGAGAACTGCCTGGTGGCGAACTGCCTGGTGATGCTCCCTGGTGGCGAACTGCCTGGTGGCGAACTGCCCGGTGGCGAACTGCCTGGTAGTGCTCCCTGGTGGCGAACTGCCTGGTGGCGAACTGCC